TACAACTTTGTTATTGATAATTTTTACATTTAAAATTATTTACTACCTGAAAAATTATTTGAATTTCTTATATTTTAAATTCAAATTTTAACTAGTTTAATCAAACTCGGATGGAGAAATGAGCAATTTTCAAAATTGGTAGATCTTAATGAGTTCTACAACTTTGTTTTTGATAACTTTTCACATAAGTTCATTTAGTATCATAAAATTCGAATATTCGATTTGAAGTTATCATTTTTTCAAATTAATTTTTAATGACTATTTTCACATGCGGTCCTCTTAAAGAGCTGCATGTAAAACTCTATTTTTGCATGCAGACATTTAGGTGGTTTGCATATAGAAATGCTCACTCTTTTTTCTCCCCTCCTCTTTCTTTCCCTCCTCACCACTTCAAAATTTTCATCCTTATCCCCTCTCTCTCTCGCACCTCCTCATCCTTACCTTACTTTCTCACCTCATCCTCTCTCTCACTTTCTCTCCTCTCCTCTCTCTCACAGCAGCGGGCGCGGCTCAGCAAGTGGCAGGTGACAGTGGGCGGTGGTGGCGGGAGTGGGCGGCGGGCAAGCGGATCCGCCACCCCCGCCCTTGGGGGTGACGGCGACGCGCGGATCCACCGCCCTTGACCTTAGGAGTGGCGGCGGCGGGCAGTGGCGGCGGCAGCGGGCAGATCCGCTACCAACGCCCTCACGGGCGACGGAGACGCGCAGATCCACCGCCCCCGACCTCGGGAACAGCAATGGCGGTGGGAGTGAGCAGCGACGGCGGGCGGCGGATTCGGTGGCGCCGCCCTCAGGAGCGGCTGCAGCTGAGGCGATGGTGTGGCGTGACTACGGCGATTGTGACGTCGGCGGCTGCGGCAAGCTCGTGGATCCCGCCGCCTCTCCTCCCTCTCCCTCATCTTCTTCGATCCCGACGGCCAGAGGTCGCTGGGTGGCGGATCCGTCAGCCGTGGATCCGGCCGGCTGGCGATGGCGATGACGGAAGCGATGGCGACGGCGGCGGGGCTAGAGTTTTTTCTTGTGGAATTTTATTTTTTTTCGCGCTTTTTCTTTTTTGCATGCAATCGGCTTAAGCGGATTTTCGCATGCGGTTGTGCTGGCCGCACGGAAAAACTCCGATTTTCACAGACCTTGTCACGCTTCCGGCTGGAGCAACCGCATGCGACAATCAGTTTCGTCCGTATGTAAAAACCAGTTTTGTAGTAGTGTTGGTTTCACTAACGTGTCGTTTTAGTCAGCAAAAATAAAACTAAGAACAATATGGGGCTACATGTAAGTGGACTTTCACCTCTCTCCCCCACCTATCCCCTCTCTTCCTCATCTCCCCTCTCTCTCTCTACCTTAGGAGCTCATTGGCTAGGAGAGGGGTCACCCGTCCATGAGAGGCGGCAGCAGCGATGGGGGGTTGTCAATGAGGGGGCTCCGGTCTTCCGTGACGGTGGAGGGGAAGAGGAGGGAGGTGAGGGAGGCTGTGAGCTTGAGCTTGCCGACCAGCCACGGGAAGGCGGCGGTAGCAGTGGCCAGTGGGCGGTCGAAGAGGATGGGGTCGCGGCTATTTGCGGTGGTAGAGGAGGAGAGGATCTGGTGCCCCAGCAGCTTCGTCTCGCGGGTGCTCCTACGGTCTTGCGCGACGCTGGGAGTGGGCTCCTGTGCCGGCCATCCTGTCCTCACAAAAATGGGAAGGGTCGAGCAGAGGGCGGGCGCATGCAGATTTCGCAGTTGCCTCTCTGCCTTTCTCGTCTGCCGCTGCCGCCACCACGGCATCTCTTGTTTGCTGAAGCCATCGTCATAGGAAAGACTTTAATGAGAATGGTTGCTTCATGCTGGCTTTACGCATGGTTAACATCTAGCTATTGGAAACTAGATGCAGAATTGCCAATTTAATTCAGTTCTTAAATCATGCAGTAATTTTGTTTCGAATCAATCCCATGCGTTCAATTTTTTTTAAAGTTAAAAGCCCCGTGCGTTGCAACGGATAAAAGCAACTGATTTTTTCTTGCAACGGATAAGAGATAAAAGCAAAAATTATGAGTTTCTAGTATGGCTAGTTGATTAAAGCATAACTGATAGTACATGTTCAAACACTCCAACTGATTTTTCACAAAATAAAAAGGCGAATGTCCAGCAAAACAGTGAACACAATTCTAATTAGACGCTTCAAAACGCATAGTGGACACTGATAATCATAATATCACTTAAGGTTAGTAATATCAACATTAAACTTATAATAATACATCTAATAAGGATGCAACACAGCATCAGAGTATGCACACAAAGGAAAAAAAACTTCATTTTAGCAAAACTAGCGAAATGCACATGCACATATATCTCATGAACTTGCACTGTAGTATGTATAAAAAGTGTATATGATATGATGGCTAGAGATAGTAACAGGTACATATTCTCATACCCACACCCAAACTAAATACGTCCGCTCCAACACCTACACCCGATCACTAGTGAAATTATTTTCCCGTACCCATACCTGAACGGGTGATGGGTACCCATACCATACCCGTTGCAACTAACTTTTACAGATCGAGAGGCTGAAGGGCGAGACGATGATGGCCTGGGTAAGGGGCAGCCTCGCATGCAGTTGTGGCCTTGCCGAGCGATGGCTTAGAGTCTGTTTGGTTGGGTGGATGAGCCTGGATGGGAGATGGCCGTCCGAATTTTTGTGGTGTTTGGTTGGAGGGCAGGGTGGATGGGGCGGGCCAGAATAGGGAATATTCTCTCAATATGCTGGATGAGTGCATCCGGCCGATTTGGTTGGATGAAGCCATCCAGTTTTGGTCTGGGTGATGTGTCCTATTCTGATTGGCTGTGGTTGGTTTGATTTTCTGTTAAGCAAGCTTTAAATGATTTTTTTTTCTAAACCGTTTATCTAATTTATGGTTTGATTACACCATTATATTTGTTACAATTAAATCTTTAAAACAAGATCTCGGATGATTATATTACGATAAATATATATATATGACAAATAGATCCCACTAACTTATGGCTTCTCCCATCCATACTATATCCCTCCAACCAAACAAGAAATTGGATTGCCATATCCATATAAACCAAACAAAAAAATTGGATCGCCATATCCAACAAAATATGAATGGCTATATCCCATCCATACGTGACCGTGAACCAAACACACGGTAAAGATGAGAGACGACATATGGACTTATTCCTTTTCGCTTCAAGTGTGCTATGATAGCGCCAGGCAGAACTAGCTTCTCATGGGCTTTTCTTCTCGTCTATCATGTGGTGAGAGCCCAACTAAGGAATAAGAGCATGTTTGGTTGGATACCTCAGTAACATGCCTGAGAAAAATGTGCATCTGTGTAGGAAGAAAAATTATGATGATGTTGCCTGGTCAGACGTATGAGTTTCGTTGTTTGGTTGAAGCCTGAGCCTGAGCAAAATAGATCCCATAATGCTACACTAAATAAACTCTGAGAAGATTTAACTCTTGCAGGAAATAACATATACTACTTGCTAATCATGTCCTGGAGCCGCTCCCTGGACATCAGGTCAGGAAGGAGTTGAAGTAGTCAGGTAGCAACCAAACAACCAATATTTTTTCTCCGGCATGTCTCGGCCGAAGCAGGTTCACCTCAAGGCAGCAACCAAACAGCCTCTAAGTTCACTTGCTGTCCCTCAACTTTACATTAAGTCTATATGACGTCCATAATCCCCAATATCAGAAATATCAACTCCTCAACTGTTCAAAACCATGCAAGGTAAGTTCCTTGGCAGTATGGATGCGTGGTTTCGCTGACGTGGTATTCTAGTTAGCAAAACAGATAAAAAAACATATGTAGAGACCACATGTAAGTAAGAAGAAAATGTGGAGCCCATCTGTCATCCCCATCATCTTCTTCTCCTTTCTTCCCCAGCATGGGAGAGCGGGGGAGGCAGCCCGACGCCAGCAGGAGAAGAGGTGGCTGGCGCGGCCGGCGGGAGAGGGAGGAGAGGGGGCCGGCCGCGCCGGCGAGAGAGGGGGAGAGAGGCGGCCATGAGATGGCTGGATGGGGGCAAGGGCAGCAAAGTGAGTGATGGTGGTGGGCGCCGCCGCTGCCATGGCGGAGAGGAGGCGGGATGGGGACGGTAGCAGCTAAGCAAGGTGAACGGTGGTGGTGGCTGCCGTCGCTGCCATGGCGGCAAGGAGGCGGGATGCCTGGTACGGTGCTTCCGCGTAGAGTGCGGCAAGCTCAAGGCGCGGGCGTACACGCTTGGTGTCCCACACAGCCGTCGTCCTACCTACGACATCAAGTTCCACTAGCGAGCTTGGACTCGCCAGACGCCTCCCCCGGCGCCTCCCTTCCCTCCCAGGCTCACTAGCGGCTGCTCCTCCCTCTCTCATCGGCACGTCGGGCTCCCGCCGACACTGCTAGTCGCCTCTCTCCTGCCGAAGAGGCAGCCCCCTCTCCTCCCTGTCCCGCTGGCGCGGCCGGCCACCTCTCCTCTGTCTCCCACTGGCCGCCTCGACCACCTCTTCTCCCGCCAACTACCTCCCCCTCTCTCCCATGCTGGGGAAGAAAGAAGATGATGATGAGGCTGACACGTGGGCCCTACATTTTCTTTTCACTTACATGTGCTCGACATATGTTTTTTTATTTGTTTTGCTGATGATTTGCTACGTCAGCGAAACCACGCATCCATACTGCCAGGAGACTTACTTTGCATGGTTTGAGCAATTAAGAAGTTGATACTTCTTGTCTTGGGGATTAGGTATGTCATACAAGACTCGACGTAAAGTTGAGCGACGATAGGTGAACTAATGTTATGAAGCAAGCCCTCATGGGCCTCATGGGCCTCGATGATGGTTCAATGTAAAGCCCCCTTCACTCTCCACGGCCTCGTCCTAGGCCCGCCACGTGTAGGCGACGTGTCCCTCTCGAGTCACGAGCAACCCGCGGTCCGGTGCTACGTGGCGTACGCGCGTCACGTGCTTACTCGTGCGCGCGCGGCAACCGGAGTAGTAGTACTTCGTACTTGTGTCCGCCTCGCCGCGAGCCCACGAACGCGACCAATCTCCGCCGCCGTTGAGCTCGAGCTCTAGTACTAGACCACGACCACCTCTGCTCCCATGGCCAGCTCCGTCGGCGACAGCACCGCTGCAGCTAACGGCGGCGGCGGCGCAGCAGCATCAGCGGCGCCACCGGAGGCTGCGGGGAAGGGGAGCGCCACCATATCCGTCACCGTCGTCCTCCTCGTGCTGCTGGTGGCCTCCGTCGCGGCGTTCCTGATGTCGCCGCAGCCGGGCGGCGGCAAGCCACCGGTGGAGGGAGTAAGCGGCGGCGGCGACAGCGACGGCACCCGCGGCGGCGGCGGCGGCTTAGAGGGTGTCAAGGGCGCCGAGCCGGTCGAGCAGGCGGTGGGCCCCGGCGCCGCCGCCATCCCCGGATTCAACAGCCGGCTCGACGCGTTCCGCGCGTGGGCCAAGCTCACCTGGATGAAGCTCCGGCGGCCACACTCCGGCGAGCCCCGGTACGCATACAGCCATATATCGCCGAACAGTCGATTGATCTTTGTCATGTTAAACTTGTACTGGTGGTTCTAAGATTTGGTTTGTTTGTGCCAAAGGAGGTATGATGACGACGCGGGGAGCTCCGGCTCGGCGGCGGACGCGGCCAAGAGGAGCCTGGAGATGACCAAAGAGACGGTGGAGCAGGCGGCGGCGTCCGCGGCGAGAGCGGCGGGGAACGCCGTGGGGAAGGCCAGCGACAAGGTGAAGGGAGCTGCCTCGCCGGCGAAACGGGCACCCTCCGACGCGGAGCTCTGAGCACACAGGAGGACACGTTGCGCAAAACACCCTCATCGGCTCAGCCTTCTTCGCCCACTGTTTTTTTTTCCTCGAAGAAATTCTGCCAGTGTTAATTAACTAGCCTCTGTTCTATGATGTATGGATTGAACTGAATATTTGTATCCTGTGAATCTGATGTACATATTTCCACTGTACTATATACAGTAGTGTGATCCGTCCTGTTAGAATCGACGGAAATAAAAAATGTTCAGGCAGAGTTGCAGTTGCCGCCGTCAGGCCTGTGTTCTGGATCAAAACTGTTGCTGCTACTGACCTACTTTTAACCAAATGACAGCCAAATGAACCAATGCAGGTGTGCTTACTTTTAACCAGCCGAGTCTCTGTATCTCTGACCAGCCGAGTCTCTGTATATACAGAGCAGAGTAGTCCACGGGGGGGTTTGGTCTTGTTCAGTCGGGGCAGATTCTCCTGAACACGGGCAGCCTCCGGCGGTTGGTCGGACCGTAGAGCACGTTGATGATCAACTCGTCCTCCTCGTCGGTCAGCGGCCACGCGAACTCCTCCCGGGGGCTCGGAGCAGACGACGGCGCCAGCGGCGGTGCCTCTGATTCGGGATGCTGCTTCGGTGCAGAGGACAGAGGCGGCGCTCTCGTCAGGAGGGTGACGGCGGGGGCGGTGGTCTTCGGCGGCCACGAGAACTCCGTCCGCTTGTGCTGTGCCACTGGTGTTGGTGGCAGCGGCGGCGGCGGCGGCGGTGGCGTTGGTCGCTCTGACTCTGGGAGGGTGATGGCTTCGCCTCTCCCGATGAGTCCCCTCTTCGGGTTGAAACCGGGCGGCGGTCCGGCTAAGGAGACGGTCGGGGTGGCTCTCGGCGGCGGCGCGAAGTAAGGAGGGCTTGGAGGAGGTCGACAAATGACTCCTGGAACTGGAAGTGGCGGCGGCGGCCGGAGGAGGAAAGGAAAGCCTGCCGGAAGACCTGGGATCGCGCCGCCGCCTCGAGGTGGACCGACTCCTGGAAGTGACGGCGGCGGGAAGGGATAAAAGGCTCCCGGATGACCTGGGATCATGGCGGGGGTGGCGCTGCCGCCTCGCGGTGCACCGGCTCCTGGGGATGGCAGTGGTGGCGGAAATCCTCTCGGTGTCGGCGGCGGCGTCGGGGGCCGCTGCATGTAGAATCCGGGGCCCTGCGCTGGTCGTCTGATCTGCGGCTCCATCTGTATGACAAGACAGCAGCATGTCAGAGATTTGCTCTTCAGTTTGATAACCCAGGAATGGAATTGTGACCCTGTGAAAACTTTAGCGGAGACAAGATATGAACATATGATGCAGCAGGCAAAGGAATTCAACATGAAAATGTTCTTGATGCAGGGAATGCACTGCAGTAAACATCAAAAACGTGTGCTGCCCAGGTCGTTAGTTAGATTACCAGTTTACCACTTTCGTCAGTCTGGTAGTCTTCCAGTTTCCGAACTTCCCTCATTTGCAGGAATTAGAATCGTTACCAGAGAATAACGCTCTATGGTGTATTCTATACAATAAAATTTCTTTCAACTCAAGTAGGAATAATGATTGAGATGACAAATCCCAGTGGAATCAGGTTAAGACATACTTAAGAAACTACTATACAGTATCAAGATTTTTATGCAATTCGTAATGCCATACGAGCAAACAAACAAATAAGATAAGCTGTTCATCATCCACAAGAAGGATTAGAGAGCAGGGATTTGTCAAACCCAAAAAAAGGGCTGGAAACAATTCACTGGTTCACTACAGAAAGTGTAGTACTGTACATCTACACGAATTGTCGAGTGCTTGTGAACTGTTTTCAGGGGGGATTGTGTAAACAACCCAAGCTAAAGAAACATGAAACGATTCTAAACAAAGGTTAAAACAGTCTTCTGGAACAGAAACTTTGTGAAAGGAAGTAATAAGAAACCTTGTTTGATCTAGTCAATTTGAATTATGCAAAGAGAGTGCTGCATACATATGTCTTCTGATAAGTTCAGAATGATAGAAATACGATGCATTTTTCAGGGTTAAACAGTGAATATCATGGATCATATCTGACCTTAATTGTTAGATATTTACTGCATAAAACAATAGCAATTTTACCTCATAAGATGTTCGTTTGATGGGTCGCACCACACGAGGGTCGCCCTTCCCATCGAAAAACTGCAGAATAAAGGTCACGGTAAGGGGAACAAATCATCAGGGAAAGAAAACCTGGAAACGGATTTTTCGTGATCAGGAGAACTGCATAGTGTAATTTTCAGGACAAAAGCATCGAACAAGATGGAGTGAACCTATCATGACTAGCTCTTATTAGTAGGAACTTAATTTCACAAAATATCAAAAATATAAATCTACTATCTGGTGAGTGGTGAACATGGCCATCAAAGTCACTAAATAATGCAGTCACGGTTCTATCTTTTCCATCAATTACTGTCTTGTTTCGTTAACACCATTCAGTTCTCCAGATCATGTAACCAGAAGCAAGCATGATAGAGTCAATGCAAGTTAAGTTAGCCCCCTATGTCTGAACACATCATGAATTCCCCAACAGCGTGAAGCATCAATGCAACGGGAGGAGAACGAGAATTGAGAGCAGAGGGAACAAATTACCTGGCGATTGAGGCCGTAGCGGCCGCTGGCACCAGAACCAGAGGTGGTATCGACGAGCACGCCGTCCATGACGATCACCTCGTCGTCCTGCGTGGGCTGCCTCACGGGGGAGCTGTGGAAGAGGAGGCGCTGCAGATTCGGATTCCGAGAGGCCTCGTGTTGGACGCGGCGGAATTCCTCGAGACCGAGGTCCAACCCTCCTGACGGCGACGACGACGACGACCCGAGGATCCTCCCGTCGCCGTCCCCTGCAGCATCATCGAACGCCGGCATGAGGCGGGTGCCCGTCGACTGAGCCGACAAGCGGCTCCGCCGCGTCCTGCTGGAGGAGTCCTCCGACCCATCTCCACTTCTATCGCTGCCTCTGCTCCGTCTTCCGCTGCCGCTGCCGCTCCCGCTCCCTCTGCCGCGCCTGCCGCTGCCGCTGTCGTTGCCGGGGGTGACGCTGCTGTGGCGGGGATCCATCGCTGCGCATCACAACCGGGATCGGAGATGCGGATTAGTAAATCGAGGCTTGTAGGAGATGATTTTTGAAAAATAAAACTGAACCCAAAGCTGGAGAAACGCGAAACTGAAATTGCGAGCACACGAAAAACTGCATAGCTCGGAAATTAGAATCTGATCATGCGCGAGCAAATCTAGCAGAAAAAAAAAATCCTACGGGATTAGGGGGCTCGAAACCGCACCACTGCCCCCGATTTCACGGAAAAAATCACGGGAAATCCCAAGTTCGATCCACCAAAATATTCGAACAGAACAGCATCAGCCACCGAGGGGGAAAAAACCCATGACGAATCAAACGAACCAGAGCAAAATCGCAGAAAACAATCGATTCCGACCACACCGCAACGGGAAACTTGCGATCGGATCGCCCTACCTCCAGTACTCCAGCCGGCGAAAATTCCAGAAGGTTCGAGAAGCGTGCGTGCGGCTGGGCGTGGAATGGAAGCGGAGCGGGAAGAGGAGAGAAGAGGAGGAAGCGAAGGAAGGGGGAGGCGGTGGAGGAGGTGGAGGTGGGCGGAGACGGGGTTAAGTACGCGGCGGCACGTCGGTTTGCTCACCACGGCTTGCTTCCCGTTTGAAATTTGGAGGTGCGGGCCTGGGAGGGGGACAAACACGCTCGAACGGCTGGGCTTTCCTTCTTCGGCCCAGAATACCTTCATGGGCTTGTCATGGGGGCCCACATATAGATTAACTTTAGCTTTGTCTTAGCAGTCCTTGAAACTGTTGATCATCATCCTCTGAAACATAGAAAAGTTTGAAAATTGTTTGTTATAAATGATAAGGCTGTTTGGTTTGATGCCCAAATCAACCCTATTGAAATTGTCAATATTTTGTTGGGAAGAGATGTTGCCAGTATTTGATAGGGGTAGAGATATTTAAAGTGTGTCTGGTTTGTTGCCATTGCTAATGTTTTGTGAGAGGAAGTTTCTAGGATGAGTACTGCTTGCTATATATACGGCCCAGTTGTACAATTCATGTGTAACAAAAAACATGCAACCATATACCAATCAAAGAAGAGCACATATGCATTGCGGCGGTTTAGAACCGTTGATCAAATTCAGTTGTACTAAGTGAGTTGGATAGTTTGATTGTATGCATAGCAATTTCCTTATAGGATTATCAAAAATATTATTATTGGACTATTTTGACCGATTTTTGAATATTACCTATTTATTTTGGTAACAAACTAATCACAACGCTACATGCTTAGGCTACATATAACAATGAATTTATCACAGGTATAATAGATCCCTGCAGTGCTGTTTTTTTTTATATATATTGAATGTTACTTCTACTCCGCTTGGTAAAAAAATGACGTTCAGTCTTTTTTTAGTATTTTACAGTACGATTTTGGTCATATTTTTTTTATTAAAATAAGTTTATAGATTGAGAAAATTTATGGTGTTGTAAAAGCATATTAAAAAGAAGAACACAACATCATTTTTCATATTTTCAGATTGTAGTTTAGAGTCATTGATAATCGAAGTCTTAAAATTTCAATTAATGCATATTATCCAAATGTCAAATATTTTGTGATCCCTCCGTTTCGAAATATAAGCACACACTTTATACACAAATATAAGCATTTTTTGGACACAAAATCCAAATCAATGGAATCTTGTTAATTTAAGTCAATAAGATGAATGGGGGAATTCAAAATATTCAAATTCTAGCTAATCAGATGTTTGGGGGGAATCCAAGCCCCAAAAAATTTAAGTATTTTTTCTTAAATCTTAATATTTGTTAAATAATTTAGAAATGCTTATATTTGAAAATAGAGGATGTATTTATTTCGACAGAAGTTCTTATAATCAATTTTCATGGCCCTCTCTTCAAAGTAAAAAAAAAATCTAAATTCAACTAAATGCAACATTTTTTCAAGAGTTTTCTCAATGACTATTTTGTTTTTCAAACGAACCGAATCAAACGATACCAAGTTTCATATTGACATAGCAGAAAAAAATTGCAAAACCACAACTTTCAGAGGTTAATCAGAAAAAGGTAAAAAACACACCACCTCCCACACCGATAGCACATATACACAAACTAAGGAAGGAAAAAGCACTAATCCGATCAACGCTGAACATGATCGGTCACCGTCAATCCTAAGAATGAGCCACAACCATATTGTCGAGCACCAACTCGAACCAGCTGAACCCAAACTCCAAGAACCTCGGGGGTCACACCCTTCACCATCCAACTGATTGCAGACCTTCTAGACAACGCCTCTAAGGAAGATGCGATATTTAAAGCAGTATCACTGCACATCCAAAAGAACTTAGACATGGTTTTCAATAGGGGATCTACTAGAAAAAAAAGGAATGTATCTCGACAATGGCGCCTCCTAGATAGAATATGGTATCCAAAAGGTTGCTGCTATTGATCTGGTGTGCTGCCATATTAGGCTTTCGCCTGCCACCTTCCTACCCCCTTTGCTCATAGCTCTAACACCCCACAACCAACAAACCGCCATTGGCGCATAACCGCCGCCTGTACCGACGCCCCACCATCGATCAACCATCGTGCGAGTGCCCAAGCACATTCACTTGAGTTAAGGTAACCCCACTATTTTTTATAGCTATGATCATTTGAGTTATGACTGATAAGGAGTTGAAAAATGAACCAAGTAACAAAATAATTATATATGTATTATTATTATTATTAGTCTATAAAAGAAAATATTGAAACATAGTCTAAAATAATTCTAGAATCAACTTAAAACTGAAATTAAACTTTAAAATTGAAATTTTAGCTATGATAAGTTAAAGGACGACGAAAGATTTACCCCAATATTCATCGTACGGCTCGTACTGATCCTATATCATCCAAGTGGGCGGGGGAACCGGAAGGAAATGGAATCATCTAGAGCATTTCGGAAGCCGCTAACCCAAGTATCCCACCGGGGACGAATTTACGGATTTGCCCTCCACCTTCTCCCTCCCCCTCGCGGCGCCGCTTCTTATACCCTTCCTCCTCCTCCGGCGTCGTCCCCGAGGTCTTCTAAAAAAAACCCTAATCCATCCACTCCAAATCGCCACGCAGGAAGGGAGGAAAGGACCACCAGCCACCGCGCGCGCCCAAATCGTCGCAGCTGCTTCCCCGAGGAGAAGAACATGAGGTAAATACTCCGTGCTGCACTTTAGCTTGTTACTGCTGGTGATGGTGGTGGTGTCATGTGGAGGTGCGGCTGATTGTGCCTGGGTGGCTGTGGGGTGGTGATGTTTTAGTTTGTTCTTACATGTTCTTGCGATTGCTGGTATGCTTGTGTTAGTTTGGTTAGATCGTAGGATATATGAAATCTTCTGGAAGAACTTTGGCTGTTGACTTGCTATCAGCGGTGGTCAATTTTCTTTGGTGGAGCAAGAAACATTAGAGTTGTTGCGGTTTTGTTGGGACGCTAGGTCCTCCCGAATGCTTTTGCCCTGTTCTCGGATGCGGATGCGATTTCTTATCCTTTTGAGTAATTGATGAAACGATTGTGCTGTTGTCCTATTGGTTAACTTGTCTCTGTTGCTGTGATTTGGGGCAATCCTATGGTGCGCTTTCTGGCTGTTTTACTGCGTGTGTTCATGATTGCAAACCTGAAATGTGTTCATGATTGCAAACCTGAAATTGTGATGTGGAGTGCGATTCTGAGCAAAATTTTATGGGGGATTGGTTTTGTGTGCTTGCAGTCGCCACCCGAGCACTAAGTGGGCGCAGAGGTCCGACAAGGTGTTCTTGACGATCGAGCTGCCCGATGCCAGGGATGTGAAGCTCAACCTGAAGCCTGAGGGCCAGTTCATCTTCTCGGCGAAGGGCCCTGCCGACGACACCCCTTATGAGCTTGATCTTGAGCTCTTTGATGCTGTGAATGTTGAGGTTAGCGCAATTGATGGCATATCTCCTCTGTTTCGTTATAATCTTTTGCATTCTAATAGTATTTTTTGTCGGTTTTTCGCAGGAGAGCAAGGCAGCTGTTGCGGCAAGGTCCATATGCTATCTTATCAAGAAAGCAGAGAGCAAGTGGTGGCCTAGGCTGCTGAAGAAGGAAGGCAAGCCACCTGTGTTCCTCAAGGTTGATTGGGATAAGTGGCAAGATGAGGATGATGAAGACATTGGGCGTTAGTCCTTTTCTGCATCCCTTGTGTTCTGTGTTTGGCTTTGTATTATCTAGTTTGGCGCGAATTGACAGTGCACTTCCTTCTTGTTGCAGTTGGTGACTTCGGTGATATGGACTTCTCGGTATGAGTCTACCGCAATTTCAGCTGGTGGTAAAGGAAAATGGTAGTAAGGATTCTCATGTTTTTCTTTGTGTTGCAGAAGCTGGGCATGGGAGGTCCTGATGATGATCTTGAGGACGATGACGAAGATGACACGGCTGACAGTGCTAACAAAGGTATATTCTCCTTGTCACCTGTATAGTTAACTTGGAGAGAAAGACTGGTACTACTTGCTTCATGCTCCAAGTATGTTATTAGCACTTATTTCATAACTGAACATTCTTCTGGTATTAGCTGTTTGGGCCAGTTCGAATGCTAGATCTTTCTCAACTCCTTGAACTGCTTATCCCTTTGGCTCAGTCCCCTGAAACTTTGCTGATTCATGAGGTTCCTCAGAGTAGCCTTTACATCATCATTTGTTTTTAATTTGTCATGATTTCATGTCCATGGTCATTATTACAACTTGGTGATTCCCCGTGCTTTGCTGCGGAAATTACTAAGCAATTCTCAAGAAAATATCTACTTTCTTGTATATACATATATTTCTATTAGTATATGTATATAAAATTGATTGAATGATGGTTGGAAATAGTAAATATGATATGATATCTTGATTGTATTATTGTCCAATTGACTACCTGATTAATATATAGCATTTAGATAGGGTGGTGATTAATGGCGTTGTTTAATTGGTGAGGAAGTGGAGGGGACTTTTATCTAACGGCTAATACTGGAAAGACTTGTCAATCCAACGGTTGAAACTATTTTGATGACGTGGCTAAACGTGGTGCCTGTTTGTGGTCTCACTTATATAGAAAGCATAGATTACCAATATGGTTTTCTTTGAGCAACAATAGTAAGTTTGACCTGTCTGTATCCTGCATGTCACTTTCTTTATTGAATAAATGCTGTAACTCTGACTTTTTGCATGTAATCTGTATGTTTATGGGCAACAACTTTTCCAATGGCATTCCTTTTGACATTCCACATCATGTTGGATGCAGCATGTTGATTCTAATGCAGGACTGCCAGTCTTAGCAGTTGATTCAATGAATTGCCAGTCTTAGCAGTTGATTCAATGAATTGTTGTTATAGTCTGGGTCAGTCAACGTACCATTTTGTCTATGCAATACCATTTCAAACTAGACTAGTTAACCAATGTTATGTAAAACTCTTGTGAAACATCTGATCTGATTTAGCCAACATGAGCATAGTAAACTGAACTTTCCAGGGATCTTAATTTCTCATAACAAGAACTCTGTATATTCAACTTAGTGAATTCGCCGAGAGGCAATTACCGAACTAACTTTATGCTTCTGCAATCTGCAGATGATGAAGACATTAAGGCAGAGGGGAGCGGGGAACAGGAAGCTGCTGGTGAAGCGAAGCCGTGAAATACCTGAGAGTTTTAGAACGCTATGCTTGACTTGTTTGTGACGCTGCCAGGTCTTAAGATTTTTTTGGTGTAAACTCTGGAGAGTGGATCACTGCCACTAAAGTAAAGTAGTAGTTATGGTTTAGTAGCTCCATTTTGTTAAAAAACTTTGTGCATTGCACACTGTTCTGTTATGTGAATCGCCATATTTGCATCAACCATTGCAAAGCTATCCAGCCATTCTGTGTTTCATACTTTTACTCATAGCGGTTTGGTGGCATGTTCCATTTGCCTTGTACTTTGGAACTTGCATAATTGTTCGTGACTGTAAAAATAAACTGAAGTATCCAGCTTGCTCAATCCATATTGTTACTGCCTGATCTACATGTTATACAACTAATCATGGAGATCACTGACAATTTGTTTTCTAGGGAATTCAAAAATCTCAAAACTATTGATGATCATGTAAGCAGATAACCATATTCTTGCATTGATTTAACAAATTGTAAGGTCACAAGAAGATGTAGATCTTCACAAAGATGACAGAATATTGCTCTCAGGGGCAGTGACAACGAGTTCGGCAAATGCAAACTCCTGCTCCCTTTTGCTTAAACTCTCTGTTACAGCTGCCATGAAGAAGCTTTGCCCAGTTTCCTCACAATTCAATGGAGAAGACACTCCTATGATGGCTCAAAGTGGTGTCCATTTTAGAGACTGCTACTATTAAATACAGATCAATTACGAAAAGAGACTCTAGGTCGCTAAGGAGATGATTGCAAGACTAATATATAGTTCTTGTGTTAAAAATTCACATCTCTGCGTTTTCTCAGCTGTCAGGTAGCCTCCTGTTTAATACTTCGGGTGGTGGCCGAAGCGTGCAAACCATCTCTCTGGTCTTCCCAAAATAAACCTGCCATCATAGAGATACAAAGCATTAAGAAAAATACATCTACGCAATTAATCTCACACTAAAGAAACAACTTAAATGTGAAACTGTTCTTTCTTTGACGTGTGATGTGAAACTGTTACCTGGTCCAACGAATTTCTGAGCTTGCCCTCCATTTCTTCTATCATTTTTCCCATATTAACCAGGTGCCCATCTGCCACAGCAAGAGTCATACTCATCTGAAAAGAGAACAGGTGGTTCAGGATTAGGTTGCTTGGATTTTCCACAGCTTAGCAGAGTCTCCTAATAAAAAGAAGTGTCTTAAGAACGAATTTTTTTATTATGTTACTGATTCAATGATTGTGCCACAAGAAATCTGCAAATTGATAAGTTATGTCTTTATAAGTGTTGCTTGTCTTTCAAAAAATAAGTGTTGCTTGTCTTTCTAGGCTTTCTAAGTTTGCAATTAACTTGTAAGTTTAATTCTCCAGAACACTTTTGAAGAATTCATCTATTTCTTACTCCTTGCGTAGGTGATCCCAAAATGTGAGCCAATCAAACATTTTTATGTTTGATCACCATTGCACGGAAAGGTGTTTACACTTCAGTTTGGCCCCATAAAATTAAATTGTTATCGCTAGCTTTATTGTCAAGTACTCATTCATAATATGTATCTTCTGTATCTAAAAAAAAAAGTATCTTCTGTGATTTTTGATATTATGATAGAAATTTGTGGCCGAATTGTAGCCTTGTGACCATGCAAGGGTCTAAAATTGTGAGAGCAAAGTTGCTTTACATCCAGAACGACATGTCTTAAGACTACTGATACACTATAGAGGTACATGTGTAAAGCTATATTGATGGTTCAAATTGTTTTATTTATGCACAAAGTCTGGGTTCTACAAAGTACTGAGGTAGTAATACACATCAATAACTGTGGAAAACAGGGATGAAAGATGCCCTTGAACTAAGGGCAACTTAATATGACAAAAAGGCGGATAAGACAGGAAGGGAGATGTTACCTGCCGCCTGATTGATCCCGACAAGTTGAAAGTTCCAGATTGCTTGTTATCTGTTGTCAATGATAGCATCACAGTGCTGTTCAAGCAGTAATGCGCTGCTCCTTCTTCTTCAGGACCAACCTGTTAAAGTTACATAAATTTTCAATGAGTACTACAAAACAACATAGCCAGAAACTACCAGTAAAATAATCAGCGACTGCATGAACAGTTTTGTCTTAAGCCACCTGAATGACATGAATAGCATCCCATGAACCAATCTGCATGTGCCCTCTTTTTCCTTCTCCATCTGCAGCCACATAACAGGAATACTAGTTAAAGAATTTCAGATTATCTGGTCAAATAAACGAGATCTCATCGAGTGTTCCTACAGACCTTTCTTTATTAAGAAGCATGCAATAAAACTCTCATCTTCATCCTCCCAAATATACACAGAAGAGATGCCACCTTCGTAATACCTATTTGTCAATAGGAAATTGTACTACTTACTTTACATGCACATAGCAGATATAATCACCTGTATGCTAAATTGAGAAATAACGCAAGTGCAAGCAATAACATTATTCCATGCTGGTGCTTAGCATTACTGAATCAAAGAGAGTATGAATCTTACTGGTCACGGTAGACAGAGAAAACATCATTTGCCTCAACTTCAAGATTCCTCATCTCTTCGGAGGGAACTGTTCCATCTTCCAAAGGAGGATCGTATTTGTTTGACCAAGGAGACCTGCAAGCCATCCCCACAATCAACAAATCGGGAGCTACAATACAGACTGCCCAACAGTTAACATCCCCCCCCCCCCAACTTAAGTGTCCGTGGTGATGAGAATCATAATTAAATGAAAGCGTTTGCAGGTCTTTGCATTGGTTTTCTCGATTGATGCATTTGCTTGTTAGTCAATTTGTAGAGCGAGTACAGGTATAGCTGCAACTATCACTAAGCTGCATTCCTGAACAATTGATTATCCTGTGTGCCTGCCTCCGCGTTCTTTGATACTGCTTGAAGCTTTCGGTATTCATAAGGTGGATGCTTTTCGCAACACTCACAAAGAAGAGATAACTATAACAGAAACCGTGAGCGTATCGACGGATCGCTGACCTGTAGGAGTCAGCGTCACGGTTGTACTCGCATAGGATGTATTCCTTCACGCTCTCCTTGTCCATGCAAACCTGCAATTCTTGCACCATTTCTATTAGGAAAAGAACGTGGCAGCGCAAAGAGGAAAGAGAGAGACGCACACAAAATGAGACGAAAGGCATCCATAGCTACAAAATTTGCGATCGGGTCGCGCGGATTCTGGTTCGAGCACCTAAAGGGTACATTGGAGCAGAGCGATTCAATTCAATTCGGCTGGACCGGCTCTCCACACAAAGGCAAAGAAACGCCCGTTTCTTGTAGAAACACACCGGGCCATTCTCGCGAGCAATGATTAAGACACCTACTTCCATCTCTCTATCTGTGAATCTTTTCGAGTAACAAGAAGAACATCCCATAACCAAGAAACTGGAGGTAGGTAGTTGTGACGCGATGCGATAAGAGGAAGATATAGGCACCTGGAGCGGGAGGTCGACCTGGGAGAGGAGGTCGAGGGAGTGGTCGGGGATGAGGGAGAGCAGCGCGTTCAGCGCCGTCTCCGCCCTCCCCGGCGGCATCCGCCGCATCAGATCCATCGCCGCCTCCATGTCCGCCCTCCTCCTTCCTCTGTCTGATATCTCCCCCCTTTCTGGCTTTTCGGCTGCGTGCCGGCCCTGCCGCTGTTGCTCTCCTCTTTGTGGTTACTCTCCTCCTGTCGCTTTTCTCCTCTTTTCTTTTTTTTCTTCTTCTTTTATTTAAACTCTGTTATGTTGTTCTGAATTTTTGTGTGTGTGTGTTAGAGAGCAGTGTGCCAGTGATTGCTCCTGATCCTTCACGATCTAAATTTTCTGTAGACATGCATCCAAACTTTCATGTAAAGAGAGAGCTTATCTAGACTTAAAAGAAAAGGGAGAGAATAAAGGATATTTTTTTTAGAAAACTGTAAATTTAGTAAATTTAGTGACTACAACATTAGCTAACTAGTATTTCAAATTGTTGTGATTGCACACAAAATTATCACGAAACTGCAACTTCGAGATCACCCTAACATTGGAATACACTTACTTTCGCTTAGTCCCATCTCTATCGTTGCTAATGTTGCTGACACATTGGGCTCACATGTCATGACGGAAGTTCCTGACGTAGGCGAAACAACGAGACATGTCAGTAATATATGAATCAAAAAGAATCAAATCTCATGGCCGGTTTAGTAGGTAAAAATTTTTGTTTTGGGGAGTCACATCGGATATACAGATACACATTTAAAGTATTAAACGTTGTCTAATAATAAAACAAATTACAGATTCTGCCTGGAAACCACGAGACGAATTTATTAAGCCTAATTAATCCGTCATTAGTAAATGTTTACTGTAGCACTACATTGTCAAATCATGACGCAATTAGGCTTAAAAGATTCGTCTCGTGATTTCTATGCAAACTGTGCAATTACGGAGTAGTTTTTTCTTTTGTCTACATTTAATGCTCCATGCATGTGTCCGAACATTCAATGTGATATTTTTAGGAAAAAAAATTTTGGGAACTAAACCAGGCCTCAGAGGGAGTACGAGAGTGACAATTGCCACTGTGATAGCTGTGTTGGGAGTCATTTCAGGTATTGCATACCACACTAAGGGCCTGTTTAGATTCCACCCTAAAATTTTACACCCTATCACATCGAACACTCAAACATCTGCATGAAGTATTAAATATAGGCTAAAAAAATAACTAATTGCACAGATTGCGACTAATTTGCAAGACGAATATTTTAAGTATAATTGCTCCACGATTTGACAATGTGGTGTTACAGTAAACATCTACTAATGACAGATTAAATATGCTTAATAAATTCGTCTCGCGGTTTACTGGTGGATTCTATAATTAGTTTTTTTATTAGTGCCCAAACACCCCATGCGACACCCTATATAATATCCAATGTGACACGCCAAAACTTTACATTCCTATCTAAACACCCCCTAAACTCAACGTGGGCAACAAAGCCTTGTGTATCGTTGGCCTATTTTTCATTGCTTGGTAATACTTCGTTGTATTTTTCACTTGCTTATCTTAGGCAGGAGAAAAGAAAAAAAAATCAAGACCCAATAGAGCATATGTACTAGCATTTCAGAAGACGGTATGGGGTAAGTAGTAGCACGAGCCAACCACCACATGACACTGAATTTAGCAAGAGTAAATAAATGGTCGCCATCTTGCAGCTAGTAATCACTGTACAAGCAACGGCATGGAGAGCTAAGTACTTTTTGCCCCTTAACAATCGAACATTGCTTAGATGCAACTGCAAGTATCCATCATAACTGCATTACGTTAGCGACCATGTTACCGAAACATTCTGTCCCTCCAGGGGAAATATAATATGAACTAGACAAACCGATATTCATCTGATTCATATTAGGGCCCCTTTGAATCAAAGGATTTATGTAGGAATTTTATATGATTCAAATCTTATAGGAAATTTTCATATTTGGCCCTTTGATTCAAAGGATTGAAGCTTTCCAAATCCTATGAAATTCCTATGGAATGGCACATTGCATGTGGATTTTGGAGGAAATTTAGCAAGAGCTCCAACCTCTTGAAAAATTTCCTTTGAGTCCATCTCTCTCATCCGATTCCTGCGTTTTCCTGTACTCCAATCAAACGACCATTCCTGTGTTTTTCCTGTGTTTTGCAATCCTCTGTTTTACACTTCAATTCCTGTCAAGATCCTGTGTTTTTCCTATTCATCTGTTTTTTTTACCCTGCGATTCAAAGGGGCTCTTAGCATTAAAGTGGAGGGAAAATTGAATGTTGATACTCCCTCCACCCAAAATATAACAAAGAAAGAATTAAAATCTGAACACACCCACTACGCAGATTCATAGTACTAGTATGCATCTAATTCAATTCTAGATTGCTATAATTTGAAACGGAGGTAGCACAATTCTGCTACAGATGTATGTAAGGAACTAAGGATCTGATATGTGTTGTTCTACATGACTTGGAAGTATTTTACAACATACTCAAAATGCAATGCACAACATGGCCTTCCCTAGCATTATGTCCTGTACCCAGAAGGCTAGAATAGCCAGCAGAGGATGGTGCATATTGCTGTATGAACTGATAAAATGCCACCAATTGTCCTTTGTCAGTTTAAATCGCCACATATCGAGAACCCAAACTTTATGGATTTAGACATTGCCCCTGAATAAGTAAACCACTGAGAATGCATAGGCATCAGCTTGAAAACTTCAGGTAAGTGATCATCAAACATACTTCTCGTGATTGAACACACACAAAGAGATCTCTTGGGAAATTTACCTTGGAGTTGGATGACTATGACACTATGCAGCACTGATCCTTGAAGGATTCACCCATCGTTTGAAACTCTTGATGCGATACTGAAGCTAGCCACGTAACTACACACTACAAGCTGACTTTGTTTTGACCTTTGCTATCCGTTCCTCATACGAAGCTGAAACAAGAAGGCGACTCAGTTTCACTTGGAAGCAGATAAACAAGGAAAGAATCAAAACTAAGCACCGCACCAACATATCATATGTGCACAACTGATGGCATTTTATAGGCAAGGCTATTAACAGTTGCAGCACAATAAACTAATGACAGAAAACTAACGGTAGGACTGTCAGAATGTCGAAGAGTAAACCAAGAGGCTGGCATAACCAAATAAAACATTTGCTTGTCCTTAGGAAAACATATTAACAAAAATGTGTTGGAAGTAAAGAACTATATAACAATTACTTACGTTCTGTTTGTCGTGACATTAGAGGAATATGATTCCTCTTCTTGTGACGAGGTTCAAATGGATCAGGCTCTGCAATGACATCTCACTTTTAGTTCACTAAAAATGGCATAAAACTGAGAAAGGATCTTAGCCTTCTGGAAAAATGGAAAAGGTTTACATGAATGTACCTGGAGAACATAAACAGGACAATGCCTCACAAAATATTGCAGCCTGGAGCATATACTGATGATATTCATCTTTCAAGTGCTCAATCAAAGCTTGACTGGCCTCTAAAATGGAACAATGTTGCATCACAATTAATTACACCATGAAAAAGCTAGAAATATATGCGAACAGGCAGCAAAAACTGTAGAGGGTGGATTTTGAACCCAAAAGATATTTTCTTTACAAATGAAAAACTTAAATTGCTTTGCATACACAAGTTCTATGAAACAACTATTCATGGCTGTCTATTATATTATCTCTGAAAGAACCATATTTCACTGCTGCTGTTTACATTCAGTCTGAAATAACTCAGGCAAAAATATACAATGCAATTAATTATTGACAGAAAATGAACTGATGATATTTCAATACAACTTCAGACAGACATGGCCAAAGTATGAATACCTGATGAACACATAAAGTTGACCTCATCAAACAGACAGGATCGCAGAATCAATGGAATCTCTGATGCCATCTTGTATTGAGGTTTTCTAGGAGTTTTGGTAATATCCAATAATGAATCAACTATCTGTTGCAAAAATAAAAAGAAAAGGAAAAACAGCAAATGTAATAATCGAAAGAAAAAAAACGTGTGCAAGTCTGAAAGATTTCTTTGTTGTTGTGGCTGGATGTTATGGTATAGTATATCAGCAGTGTCATAATAGAGATAAGTCGGATTGGCAAGTGCTGTAGCATTTGGAGAATCCAAATAAGCTCTCTATTAGAGTTTCCTAGTTCTGTTATAAGAGTCCAACAGAGTCCTAGTAGTATCAGGTTACTAGTTTGTTTCCGTTTCCCCTATCTAGACACACCTCAGTATATAAAGGTAGCCTATATTGTATTATGGGTTAAGCAATAAGAAATATCTAAAGGGGATTAACCCTAAAAATTCCAGCCAAGTAATAAAGAATACTTTTACATCAGGTCTTTAAACTTGCATGTGTATTCCAATTTGGCGGTTGGCCATGAACTCGTTAACTCAATGTGCATCCATGAACTTGCATTGGCTAAGATAATAAGAGACCTAAAATTGCACCAATCAGTGCCAAGTGAAATCATCCATGCAATGCAAGTATAGGAACCTATATGGGCCTAAAGATATGTAGCTTACATACCTAAGGCCCAAAGGGAAAGTCTGTGCCAACTTTAACGGCATATACCAATATACCATACAATAACCTATTAAGAGAAAAAAAAAAGCTTAGGAGCGATTTTACTTACACATGGTGTCTCAAGACCTTGACCAATAAGAAATAGCACAGCTACCATGCAGCGAACTTGATGCCACAGGAAGGCACTCCCCTTGATTGTGATGGCCCACAGCTCATCATAGTTAGACCTTGAAGATATAAAGCACTTCCATGATTTAATTCAGGTATGGCAAGCATCTCACACATTTATGGATAAAAGAGTTTTGATTAAAATGCAAATTTAACCTTTGGTCATAGGCTGAAATATTAAAATCTGTAATATGTCGCCTGTAGTTACTCACGTTTGCTGCATCCATCTTACAGAAATTCCTGTAGTCATGTTCGCCAATGAATTTTAATGCAGCCTTCTGCATTTCCTGTTGACAGTTTGAAGTCAGCTTGTCAAGAACTCAACATGGACAAGTTAACAATTATAGAAATCAAGGAATGGCATATTTACCGATATATTCAAGTCGCCCTTCCAAAACAGGTACTTATATTCCCTGCCCAAACAAGAGAATCTACAAAATAGCAGTAAGGGAAGATAAGATTCTATCAGACATAGGAACATAAAGTGCAAGATGATACAGTAGAATAGAAGAAAAAATTAAATGCTTTATCTTCAAAAGAAGGGAATAAATCAACAAATAAACACGCAATCTCTTTTCTTAGAACTTATATTTATCAATGGGATGAGACTTGAGTGAGAGTGCCTTTAATATTTCCAACAAAAACAAAGTATACATAGAGCTGAAACTAACCTTGCAAGAAAATCTCCTGCAACGGGACACCAGCCAATTACACGTATATCGTGTGGAAGGATTCTATTCAATACTTTTACATAATCAATTTCTGAAAACAAAGCACAACTCTTAGTTTGCCGAAACCACTGCAAGCATAGGCAGGATCCAAGATGTTTGACATTTGAAATGAAATGACAGGTAGAAATAGGAAAACAACACAAGACATGCTCTTGTTGGGAGAAGGTCAGGGAAATTTCCCACTAGCAGGGTCACAGTATAGTTAAGCAGCAAATTAAATCTGAATTACATGCTGTTTTCACTGCTAGAGAGCTGCAAAGAATAGAAGGCAGAAACATACCAGATTTGTTGTCTAGTACATCCAATTTGGCATCTTTTATGTTGGATCGCAGAAATAAGGAAATTACCTGCATGTTGCAGGTGCAGGATGAGGAAACAAATTTTATTTAGTGCATAGACATATCTCACATTTTCCATATTGCACTCATTTCTGCACCATGCAAAAATCATCAAACACTATTGCAATACAAAATTACTATCTAGATTCCTAAAAAATAGTGTACCTATTGCATGCAAGCAGTAGCACTTAAATATCTTTGACGTATGTCTTCAGAAATTTAACATCGAGCACATCAAAATGACATACTGATTGGTTGTGAAGATACTTCTACATAGATTTCTTTCTTCCATTACAGGCTATTATTTAAAATTTGAGGTCAACCGTTGCATTGTGGAATGTAAAAGGTTGATGGTTATGTATAAAAAGGGATTTTGGGTTATGAACTTTTTTATGCGGTATTTTCCATGACAGAGAAAAGTGAACTTGTATTAATCACAGTACATAATTGTATTAATCACTAGTCAGTAGCAAGAAAGTAGCACATGAAAAATATGACTTTCTGATGAGAAAGACCAGAAGAGTGCTTCTTAAAAATAAAACCAGAAACAAAAATAATTCGTGATCACATCTGAGACTACTATGAGTAATATAAGCTTATATTATATACAAGAAGAAAACATAATATAATCATCTAGCATTGAACAAACCATACACATTCAAGTACCTGTCCAGTAGCAGAAACCCCCTTATCAGTTCTTCCACACCTAGAATAACATGATTCTTTCCTACTTCCAACCAGAAGCTTCGCCCTTTCAAGTGCTTTAAATATCTCAGACTGGAACAGAAAAGGTAGGAGTATTAATGGAAAACCTTAGACGCCCTTAGAGAAACAAAAATAAGCTGATATGTAGTTCGTAGGAAAAAAAATATACCTCAACTGTAGGCTCTGTGTGGGCTTCTGAAGCAAAGCCATAAAATCTGCATGAGAACAAGCATATTTGCAGAAAAAAATGAGAAAAGAGACAAGGCACGAGGCCACGAGCAATAAGAACTAACAAAGTAAAGAGAACGGATGCAGGTGCCAGCAGAAGTTCTTGGATTGGAAAGTTTGATATTATTGACTCAATTTTGCAGGTGCCAGGAGAACATATTGCAATTTTGCAGAAGAAACATGTGTTAATATTATTGACTCAAAGTTTGATCTGTGACCAGTGAAGAGGTTCCTAACTTAAAGCTGTTGCATATACACATATAGTACGCCTATATTTGATCACATAGTAGCAGGATTTTAATGCAATCTTCTTATCTTCATCACATAGAAGCTAGCACAATATTGGGATTGTATCGGAGTTTAAGCAAGAAAGCATCACAGATGAAGGAAACACATGATTTTTGTATTGGAAATAAAATCATACCTCTGACCAAAGTACATGATTTTCAGAGCAATTAATCGCTTTGGGCAGTGACTTACAACCCCCACTTGGCAACCTCTACACTAAACACAAGAAAAAAAACAGGTAATATTAGACAGAAGTTTTCTTAGAAAATTAATGTTTTAGTATAGGTGAAAAATATGCTCCATTAATCTCAATGGAGACATACACATCTAATATATTTACATGCAAAAATGACAACAAACAGAGTTCCTTCTAGTAAACAAATGACTATCCTTACCTATAGAAACTTAGTGTATCTTAAGTTGCATATGTGCATGAACTATTGTATTCCACAATACCATTGCACTATAATTCGATTGTATGCATATGACTCAGATAAGATAAGAAAGCAAAACTCCATTATGTGATTATGGTAGATGTTATTGTGGAACCATCTGATCAAATTAAAATATGACATTATGGTCTGAAGTTACACTTACATGTGACTTTACGTTCTTCTGTGGTTCTTGTTTACTGCTGGACAAACTTTCACTAACTACTGGAGAGGAAGCAGCACTGTCGTCCTACAGAAGAAAATCAGGAAAAATGTTAACAGAGAAGAACCTCATGACAAATGATAACAGGTGAGGGATGCAGTACATAAGCATTCTTCTAGAAATGATATCAACATGATAACATCATCAAAACTCCAAGATATCTAGCTATAAAGGTATAGCCACAGATGCAGGTTTTTGTTAGCATATGGTGGGGTCATGCTTGACTAATGCCATAAAACTTGCTGAGTGACACTTTTGGGGTACTGTAATCTAGATTTATCAATTTTTATTTCAAACCAAACTTCAGCATGTATTTGAACAATCAGGAATATAATCCTAGTGGGAAGATAGAAAAGGGAACTTTCTGGTAGTAAGTGTGATCCATCCAATCCATGACAGCAACCAAAGCATTACTATTCTATCATCTTTTCGTGACCAGAAAATCGATGTGTTAGGATAAAAAAGAATTACAGGCAATACTCTTGCATGAGTTCACCTCGAAAATGTGCAGTTCTCCGGACAAGGATTTCTAGCTACCGTTATCCTCTCTTATTACAAGGTTACCTCACTATATATGTACTAAACTACAAAGAACAAGCTAGTTTTTTTGGAAGCAATGGTGCACCAACGACTAGATGGAATCGTCAAACTATCAATCACCATTCAGGACAGCTCGAAATGGCTCCGATTAGATGAATGAAAATGGCAGTACTAAGGATAAAAGAAATCTCACCTTGGAGCTGCCGCAGGTGCATCTCGAAGCAATCTTACCCAGCCTCTGGTTCTCCCTCTCCAACTCCTAATCACACCCAATTATAATTCACCAGTAGAGAAAAAAAAAGAGAAGAAACAACTTCACTAAATCCACCGAAACAGCCGCGCAAGAAGAGAAAAAGGAAAAAACGAACGCTGGTCCGCGAACCTGTACGCGGAGCCGGAGCGCGGCGACCTCCGCCCGCATCACCGCCGCCTCACCATCGCCTCCCGCCGCCGCCGCCGCCATGGCAACGTTCCTATCGGAGCCCTAGAACCGAACTGAACCCACCCAGAAGCGCAACGTCAGAGGGACGTCGGGCGTCGCTCCTTGGTCCGTCCGTTCCGAATCGCACGGCGCTGCTGCTGCTACCCTTCGTTTCGCGGCCGCTCCAATCGAGCGAGCAAGGCCGACGACGAACAGGCTCGCGCTCGGCCCATGCCAGTGAAATCGGCCCACCAACATCCTCGCGCTCCACCATGGCTGCCGTGCGCCGCCGTTCGCTGCTCGGAGAAAGGGGGAAGGGCGGAAAGAAGACCTTTGAGCTGATTTTTTTAAGTTCTAACAGCGACGAGATGGTCAGCGAACAACTAACAAAACATCTATCTCGAGGGAATAACGGAGAATCAAGTATTCTCTCATATGCATTTTAGTAGTGAAGTCATGTTCTACAGAATAACCCAAGTTTAGTACAAGTATGATAGAGTTGGGCAAAAAAAAAAAAAGGGCATATTTTGTGTGTATGGTTAATTTTGTTTTGTCTAGATCCTGGTGAAACACTTTTGTTTTGGGGAAATCTGTCGAAGTTATGTTCTTGGAGTCCGTTTGGTAAGGCTCTAAGTTTTAAATTTAACTATAGTAATTAGATTTGTACTGGATTTATAGAGCTATCTAAACCTAGTTTTGCTTCTTTAGTTTATTTTGTGAGAGTATCACTCCGTGCCATTTTTAAGTGGAGCTAAAACTATTTGACTGGGATCTAGCTTCAAGAGAGGTAGAGTTGGAGCTGAAGCACTACGAAACATCTTGACACGATAGTACTCAATGATGTATATATCTAGCTTTCTTTTGCTATTTTAGAAGAAAATTTTTTAAGACAAATACTAAGGCACCAGATGTCCAATGTAGCAAGAATCACATTCTAATGTTCACTGTTCACTATTGTCGAAGAGTGAATCTCCTCTAGCAGGGAAGTAAGAACTCCCCCCCCCCCTCCCCTTTGAGATTCGGCTAAGGGGCGAGTTGAGATCAAGCTTCGTTCGTACGATGAACACCAAACACAACCAAGTATACAGATTTAGGTCGCTCGGGAGCGTAATACCCTATGTACTCTTGTGTTTTAGACTATGTGGGATGGGCCTGTTCGGCTGCACTCATGTTGGCTGCATCGCAGCAGAAACAGTGCTTCGTGTAAGCAAGTAAGCAACTGCGGCAGCATCACTGTGTTGTAGCGGCTGCACCTTGCAGCCGAACAAGCCCGATGTATGTGTTACAGAGTTCTTACAACGAGAGAAACTAGAGTTCTGCTCCAGATCATTTCTTTCAAATGTCTAATCCTAAGTCATCAGACTCCTCCTTTTATATCTTAAGGAGAGATAACAATTATATTCTTGCATGGACGAGGAATGGAGAGGAGGGCTGTGTCAAAGGAGTCTTCCTCGGCGATATGCTCCTCCCACACTCGTGCTGGTTGGCCAGCGGATGTCACATTGGTTTTTCTTTTCTTTTATTCTTTGGTGGACGGATTGACTTGACGACCAGCATCTCTGTTCGTCTCCCGCTACACTCTATTGTAAATGGGCTATCCTCGCTACGACGTGGAACAAAAGAAGTAGCAGCACCATGCAATACGAAACATACGAAGGAGTGACGCGCGACTTCCCTATGACGTTGAGAGCGTGACCCCAGACGATCTACTCCCTCTATAAGTCTATACCATGATATTGCTTAGCCTGGGATGGCAATAAGCTTGTCAGGATCGGGATCCTAGGTAGCATCGTTTTGCTCAAAATAGTATCGTATCGTATGACCGGGAAACTATGAGATTTTCCTTTTTTTAAGTTTAATTAATATTTAAATTAATTACATATAGCCATTCTATATAGCCATGCAAATAAATACATTTATTAAGAGAAACCACATTGGTTTTGATATATTTAACCGATTTTTATATAAACTTAAGCATATTTATTTACATTATTTTTAAATCATCTTATTTTAAATAATATTTTGTAATATCGTAGGGATCATAGAATCGAGATACTACATAAGATTATGCAGATAGTGTGGTAATGAATAGTAGCATCGAGATACTATGAAAATTAGGATACTATGTGGGATCGGTATCATTTCGACTTGGTAGTATCATAGTATTATAAGGTACTAGGATACGGATCGGGATAATGACAACCTTATATCTTATATCTTAGGCTACGTTCGGCTCTTCTAGTTCCCAATCTCTCCTCCCTCTTTTTTTCTGCGCACGTTTCCCAAACTGCTAAACGATATATTTTTTGCAAAATTTTTCTATAGGAAAGTTGCTTTAAAAATCATACTAACCCATTTTTAAGGAGGCCGATATAAATTGGACGTCCGATCTATTGCAAAAGATCAGACAACCACGTCTGCATGACATCATCAAGCATGCATGCATTCAAAACTATTTTAAACTATTTTTCTCTTAAATTATTTATCCAAATTATGATCCGATTGCACCATTAAATTCGTTGCAATTAAATCTTTAAAACAAGACCACACATGGATATATTCCGATGAAAAAAATTAGCTTATTATTGAATTATTTTTAAATGTTGCACGCTGTTCCACCAAGTATATCAGAATTGTTTCAATAGGTAGATCGAAAATATTTCAATCGTTTAAATCGGATGATGTTTCACATTATATAAAACAATGTTTCAGCAAATAGCGAAAGAATGTTTCAAGTCACTGCAACATTTGATCCATACAAAGTGAAACATTATAGGCTGGTTTGGTTTGAGACCTAAATTAGGCTTACCAATATTTGGCATTTTCAATAGTGTTTAGTGTCTAGTTGGTTTGAAGCCAAATTTTTGCATGCCTAAGAAAATAGGCCATTTCAATAGTGAACTTAGGCTATTTTGTCTTCAATCCAAATACAACATTGCCTTACCAAAATTAGTCATGCCAAAACTTACCAAAATTTAGCACTGACAAAATTTGGTAAGGCCTATTTAGGCCACAAACCAAACCAACCCTATATGTATACTAGGTGAAATATTTTTGGTAAAACAATAAATGAAACGAATTCTCTTGATAGAGGGTTTCCATAATATGTGAGTGATTTATTGCAAAAAATGTTTTAATTCACTGCAACATTAGATCTATACATAGTGAAACATTATGAGTGCACTATGTGAAACATTTTTAGTGGAACAAAAAAATGAAACGGATTTCCTTAATAGAGGGTTACCAAAATATATGGGTGATTTGTTGCAACAGAATATGTGGTGGGGACACGTGGCAGCACGAAGGCGCGTGGGAGAGACGTGGGCAGCACAGCAGGCGGCGTGGTGGGCCCCGGCGACAGCAGATGCCTGGCGCTAAGCATTCCCGTATTTTTAAAGTTTTTTTAGCTAATACTTAATTAATCGTGCATTAATCCATCACCCGTTTTCCATGTGGGAGGTGAGGGTTCCAACCTAAGAACATAGCCTTAGGCTGTGTGTTTAGTTCCCTTTAAACTTCTAAAAATTTCGTCACATCAAATGTTTGACATATAAATGGCATTAAATGTGGACGAAAAAAAACCAATTGCATAGTTTGCATGTAAATTACGAAACGAATCTTTTGAGCTTAAGTACGCTATGATTTAACAATGTGGTGCTACAGTAAACATTTACTAATGCCGGATTAATTAGGCTTAATAGGTTCGTCTCACAGTTTACAGATAGAATCTATAATTTTTTTTCGTTACTAGTCTATATTTAATACTTTAATTTTTGTTTGAAAAGTCTATGTCTTGGATGGCAGCGGATACATCACGGTTCACGGGGATTCCCTTCCCCCTCGAGCGACGGCGCGAGAGAGATTCAGGTTCGGGTTAACTTTTCCGGTCCCCCGCTGGGTTACCGGGTACCCAGGAACGCCGCGTGCAGGCCTCCGGTGCAATGGCCCAATGGGCCAAACGGGTACGGAGGTGTGGCTTGGCACTTGGCAGGTGCTTTGACCGGTCAAATGAGGTGGTTTAGATTTAACTCTTACGGTTAAGGTGTTCTGTTAACTAATCTGAACAACATGATGCTCATCCTGTAAGCAGGAAGCCTACGTGGCAACTTTACGGCGCAACGGCCCCACATGTCAGTGGGTGAGAAACCCGCGCTAGTAGATCCTGTTGACTAGAACGATAGTCATCAACTCATCATTCTCGAGACCTCCACCTATAAATAGGCAACCGAGATTTACACAGCATTAGTTGCACGGATTAGAGGAAGATTAGTAGTATTAGTAGTCGGGATTAGGCAGTAATGGCGGCGACGAGCGCCAGGAGCGTGGCGTGGCAATGGTTGGCCGTGGCGGCGGCGGTGGCGGCGGCGTCTCTGATCGGCGGCACGCCGGCGGAGGCGAGGAGGGGAGGGAAGGAGTCCATCGGTTTCTACGAGCTGCGTCGGGGCGAGTTCTCCGTCGTCGTCACCAACTGGGGCGCCACCATCCTCACCGTCAACCTCCCCGACAAGAACGGTAATTGATCCAGTCTTGTTAATTTCTCAGTATCATGTTAAGGGTTTAATTTTTCGTTTTCGGTGTTTATATCAGGAAGTGTTGATAAAGATAAATTTTCGAAATTTTAAACAAAATTTAGTCAAATATGAAGAAATATTATCAAATTCACGAAAACTTAAAAAAATTAAAAATTTCGGCCGAAATAATATCGTATCGGAGGGATATGAAATAAACGAAATTTCGGAAACCAACAGTTCAAAATGTCGAACCCTCATCATGTTCACTCGAGTTCTTGAGATTAATCATGCAGAATATGTTTTGCAGGGCACATTGATGACGTCGTTCTTGGCTACAAAGATATTGGATCTTACGTGGTGAGCTAGCTAGATCCCATGGCAAATTAAGAAAACTATATTAATCTACATGAAATGGCAAATTAAGAAAACTATATTAATCTACATGAAATGGCAAATTAAGAAAACTATATTAATCTACATGAAATGGCATATCGATCGATGATCTAATTTTGTTTTTCGTACGTTTTATGCGTATGTTTTTGGTTTGAAGAATGACACGACCTACTTCGGGGCGCTGGTGGGGCGGGTGGCGAACCGGATCGCCGGCGGGAGGTTCACGGTGAAGGGGCATGCGTTCCACACGTACAAGAACGACGGCAAGAACACGCTCCACGGCGGCCACCGCGGGTTCAACCAGGTGTTCTGGTCGGTCCGGGAGAGGGCCACCGGCCACTTCCCCTACATCACCTTCTACTACCGGAGCTACGACGGCGAGCAGGGCTTCCCGGGCGCCCTCGACGTGCTCGTCACCTACAAGATCGACGGCGACTACTCCTTCAGCGTCACCATGTACGCCCGCCCCGTCGACGACGGCAAGCCCACGCCGGTCAACCTCGCCCAGCACACCTACTGGAACCTCCGCGGCCACGGCAACGGCACCATCCTCGACCACTCCGTCCAGATCTTCGCGTCGGCGGTCACCCCCGTCGGCGCCGGCCTCATCCCCACGGGAGCCGTCTCGCCCGTCTCCGGCACGCCGTTCGACTTCCGCGCCCCCGCGCCGCCCGGCGCGCGCATCGCCGACGTCCCCGGCGGCGGGTACGACATCAACTACGTGCTCGACGGCGAGGCCGACGGGCAGGGCGTGCGCAAGGCGGCGGTGGTGAGCGAGCCCACCTCGGGGCGCGTGCTGGAGCTGTGGTCCGACCAGCCCGGGCTGCAGTTCTACACGGGCAACTTCCTCAAGGGCGACGAGGGCAAGGGCGGCGCGCGCTACGTGAAGCACGGCGGACTCTGCCTCGAGACGCAGGACTACCCGGACGCCGTCCACAACGCCAAGTTCCCCACCGAGATCTACCGCAAGGGCCAGGAGTACAAGCACTACATGCTCTACAAGTTCTCTCTCGCCAAGAAGTAGATTATTAAGACGTTCGTCGTAATCAAATCAAGAATTCAAGATAATTATTAGCCTACATGGTTTTTGTGAGCGATTATGTATCTTAGATTATGCTAGTAGTACACTTAGGTGATCGGTATGAAGCTTACGTGATTTTAGATGATGATTAACGTGCCAAATAATTCGCAAAAGAGAGCAGCACATGTGCGCTGTGTACAAGGACGAACATATGTCATGTGCAACACAAAGGGGGACGAGCTGCACTGTGCGCCGGCGTCGAGCTCACTGTACGTGCTAGTGTCGTGATCGCGCGCGGCGCGCATCGCCGGTGGCACCCGGTGGCTGCAAACGGATCAGGTGCCGCGCACGCCGGGATCTCCTTCCACCTGCTCGCCGCCGGCTGGTCAAGGCAGATCGTGCACTCTGTGCCGCCGTCACCGATCACGTCGTCGTGCGCCTCCTGCGGCGTCGGAGGAGGAAGACGAGTCCGTGAGGTCGCCGCCGGCGGGGCCAACGTCACCAGTGCACCCACAACAATCGGCATCACCAGTGTGCGGTCAATGGTTCGCGCCGGATACGTGTAGTTTGATAAAACGGGGGTGGAGGGACGTGATTTCCGAGTCGGAGTCAATCGGCTGGTCGCCGGTGAACTTCCGATTAGGCTGGCGCTGCGCTGATCACGCTAAGAGCAGTTACTGTTAGCCAATTATAAATATATTTTAATGAGATAAAAAATGAGAGAGAAGAACAACAGGCTCTGTAGCCAGCTGCAGCACGGACTCCAATTAATAGTATAGCAAGTAACTATTGTATAAATTAACTATTAGATTAGCTAGATGAATTGGAGTTAGTAGTGGGCTATACTATTAAAATTACTCTAAGAGCAAGTATAATAGTGAGCTATAAGCCTACCATAAGCTTAGATGGAGGAGAGAGGTAGTGAAAAATTAAGGGTGTTGGCTCTTATACAAGAGATAGAGAGAGGAGAAAAAAATTATAGCTAACCATATAGCTAATATATTATATATGTTGGTTTTAAAATAGGCTAATAGTAGAAAGTGAGCTATACTATTATCCTTACTCTGAGCTAGTTCTAGCCGAAGTCGAAAAGTAAGCAGAGTATGCGCGCGGGCGTGGTGACATACCTGCCCCCCGCACCTATCTGACCATGTGGGTCCCATAGGGAAGGGCCGCATGTCACAAGCAGACGTTTTGTGTGCCATCAACCACTAACAAATTGAAACTTTTAGAGAACTTATTTTAAATTGATCCATATTAAAAATTAATTGTAGAAATGAACCGTCGGGTTAGTGCTATCGATATTGGCGTTAAGACGATATAACATCTCAACGCTGGTAGCTTTAGCGTTGAGATCCTAACTAAGTTGCTGATGAATTCCACGTGGTGGGGTCAGTTAACAAAGGCTTTGGTGCGACCCCATGTCCTGTAACACACATTTAGGCTGAACTTCTGCATGAAAAATAATATTATTAATTAGCATGTGACTAATTAAGTATTAGAAAAAAAGGAAAAATAGATTAATACGATTTCTTAAAGTAATTTCATATATAAAACTGTGGCAAAAACACACCGTTTCGCCGTTTAGGAAGCGTGCGAGAGAAAAAATGGAATAGAAGTTGGAAAGTTAGAGAGAAACCTCAACCTTAAAGATATGGAAATGGCGCATCATGTCATCCGCTTGGGAAGATTTATCTTGGTAGGCGGATAACCATCTCGCTCCTCCTGCCCCATTTTGCAGGCGCCAGGCAGGCCGGTGGTTAGAAATATATTTTCCGCTTGAAAAAAATAGAAGCGCCTCCTTCCACCCCTAAGCCATGTTTAGTATCGCATATTATTTTTTTCTTCAAAAAAAAATGCTTTGGAGAAGCGCCAAAATACTCCCTCCGTTTCGAAATGTTCAACACCGTTGACTTTTTAGCACATGTTTGATCGTTTGTCTTATTTAAAAAATTTTGTCAAATATGTAAAACTATATGTGTACATGAAAGTATATTTAACAATGAATCAAATAATATAAAAAGAATAAATAATTACTTAAATTTTTTGAATAAGACGAATGGTTAAACACGTACTAAAATGTCAACGGTGTCAAATATTTTGAAACGGAGGGAGCAGCAGTTTGGGCGTTCATATACGTCACGTAGTAGTTTGTTTTAGCCCTGATCAAAATTCACGATCGAGAGCGAACGAGCAAGCAACAGAGATTCGATACATATGAGATTTCATTATAGGAAATTTCCTTATAAGGCAACAGTAGCAATATACTCCCTCCATTTCTAAATATTTGATACCGTTAATATTTTAGCATATGTTTGACCGTTCATCTTATTTAAAAACTTTTGTGAAATACTTAAACTATATGTATGCATATATATATATTTAACAATAAATCAAATGATAGGAAAAGAATTAATAATTACTTATTTTTTAAATAAGATAAATGGTCAAACATATTTAAAAAAATCAACGGTGCTAAATATTTAAAAATGAAAGGATTACATTTGACGTGCCATACTAATTACGGTACAATAGATTTCATGGTCAAGGCATGCTGAAGAAACGGGAGTGGATTTTAATCCCTTGAGGGATATCCCCTCGTATACCTTATTCTTTCAAATTCGATGCAAAAAAAAAATTGACAATGTAGAGTATAATGATACCTACTAGTCCAAAAAATTCAAGTTCAAATTCGATCTACACATCGAGAAACAAAAAAGACAAATTTAGATATAAACAGTACGCTACTATTCATATGTGAATTTTGTCTTTTTTTATATCTCGACGTGTGAGTTGAGTTTGGATTTAAGATTTTGTGGAGTTGTATATATGTGTTGTATGAATGTTGTCAATTTTTTCCATAATTTTTCATAACCGTTTAAATGGTTTTTAAGCAAACGAGATAACATCCCCTCGAGGGATTAGAATAGTTTCCCGGAAGAAACAACGGCCAAAAAGGAAAACCGAAAACTAATTAAGGGTTAATTTCGACATTGGTGGAGTACTGTACTCGTATTTCGTAAAGATAGTAATGGTAATGCTCCTCTTCATTGCCGCCGTCGCCGGAGCGGCGTACGCGCGCTATCAGCAGGAGCGGCTCCGACGTGGTCACCTCCGAAGCCGCCCCCTCCACCACCTCCGCCGCCGGCATCTGGTGGCGGCACATGGGGCACGTGCCGTGCATGCGCAGCCACTTCTCCAGGCACCCGCCGTGGAACCGGTGCCCGCACGGCATCTCCTTCCACCCCGCCGCCGCCGACGCTGACGGATCGTCGTGGTTGAGGCAGATCGCGCAGTCCAGCTTCTGCCCGCCGCCGTCGACGTCGCCGCCGCCCACGTCCTTGAGCGCCTGGATCGCCTCGTCCGAGGCGGCGGCGGCGCCAGCGGAAGCGCCGCGCGAGGTGGACTGCAGAAGCGATGCCAGTATGTCGTTGGAGTCTTGGAGGAACGCGCCGGCTTGCCTGGCCAGCTGATTCGCGAACGATAGGATGTCGGCGCCGCCGCCGCCGCGCGAGGTGGACTGAAGAAGCGATGCGAGTAGGTCGTTGGAGGCTTGAAGTAGGAACGCGGCTTGCCTGGCCAGCTGGTGCGCGAACGCTAGGATGCCGTCGCGGCCCGCGCCGCCGTCGTCGTCCATGGCTGGCTGCTGGCGTAGTGGCGTAGCGGCGCCGGTGGTGCTCGTCGCCGTCGCTGTTGCCGGCCGGCCGGGAAGGAGCACGTACGTCGTACGGTGGAGGAAGCAAGTCGATCGGTCGCCGACGACCGTGTGAGTGGAAAGCTAATAATCAAGCGATCGATCTCCAATGCATATGATCCCGCTAGGGTGTGGAGGCCTATATATATGAAGCGGCCGCGCGCGGAGGGAGGTAGGGTTCGTGAACGCGGAGAAGCTATCGGAGTCGGAATGGCGCTAGCTGTTCCCCGTGACTTCACCCAGTCGGAATTCGGAAAGAATGTTCGCGATCGATCGGATTTTAGTGATGGAGAATGATGTTGGGATCATTCATTCGGACACGGATTCGACCATGTTTCCGACAATGCGACTCGGGTTCTAGTGATCAGGAACTGAGCACTACGTTTTCCCGTTTTCCTTTCTTTAAACATGGTAGATTGGAGTATATCTGGATAATGCTGCGCGCCGAGCGCACGACGTCAGAAGAAAAAATCAGGCGCTCGGGCGCCCCCGCCTCTGGCCGCTTTTCCTTCAAATATATTTAAATTTTTTTTTTCTAAACTAATTATCTAATTTATAATCCGATCACACCGTTGTATTTATTGCAATTAAATCTTTACAACAAGACCACACATAATTATATAATTATGTTTCGACAAAAAAATATTTTAGCTTTTTTATTGATATTTTTTGAATGTTGCATAGGATCTCTTTTGATGTTTCAACCAGTAGTTTTACGATGTTTCAGCTAGTATACTCGCGATATTTCACTATGTACGGATCAAATGTTGCAGTGGATTTTGACATTATGGAACGTGCCGTTGCAACAAAACCCATATATTTTGGAAACTCTCTATTAAGGGAATTTAGTTTATTTTTTTGTTCCACCAAAAATGTTTCACCTAGTGTACTCACAATGTTTCACTATGTATAGATCTAATGTTGCAGTGAACGAAACATTCCATTGCAACAAAAAAACTCACATATTTTGGAAACCCCCTTGTCAGGGTTACAGATAAGGTATACCCTCTACCCTTGAATATATATTGTATACCGATACGGTATACCTGCGCGTATACGGATGTTTCCTGTACATGTTAAGGAAATCAATCACGTAATAGAAACAGAATCTACACATGAGAGAAATCCTACTCGGACAAGACTGGGTCGTCACTGTATCATGAGGGGTCCAATATCTCCGAGTTCTACTTGGAGATCAGCTGACCCGCGATATAAAAGGGACCCCCTGAGAGGACCTAAGGCATCGAATCTCACTGCCAACACATCCATCTCAGCCTACGAAGTCGGAGCCTATAGAAGCCAAGTCGTCGGGTGATCTAGTCGAACCAACTCAACTACGGTCTTGTCGGTATCATTGAGTTCCGCTATTCCCTTTGTAATCGGTGGTTTCCATCATATAATCCCATATCAACTGGGTTAGGGCTATTACCTATCAAGGGACCTGAACCAGTATAATCTTTGTCTTCTGCTTGTTTGATGTCGTACTACGTAGATCCTTGTACCAGCGTACCCCAATACCCTCTATATCCGGTCTACGGGTATCCACCGTCGACACCCCTATTAAGGGAATTTGGTTTATTTTTTGTTCCATCGAAAAATGTTTTACCTAGTGTACTCACAATGTTTCAATTTGTATAGATCTAATGTTGCAGTGAAGTGAAATATTTTTTCGCTATTTGCTGAAACATTGTTTTTATATAAGGTAAAACAACACCCGATTTAAACGAGTCAAACATTTTCGATCTACTTAGTGAAACAATTCCGATATATCTGGTGGAACATTTAAAAATAATTCAATAATAAGCTAAATTTTTTTTCATCGGAATATATCCATGTGTGGTCTTGTTTTGAAGATTTAACTGCAACAAATTTAATGGTGCAATCGGATCATGATTTAGATAAGTAATCTAAGAGAAAAATCAGTTTAAAATAATTTTGCACGTAACTCTGCTCGCATCGGGCGCTCGACGAGGAGTCACGTCTGTATATTTTACAACCATGTTTTACAAGGGGTGCAAATGAAAGAACTAACAGCATCACCAAGATATTGGTTAAATTCCATCCCGAAAATTTGTATGGGAATCCTAAACATAATTTGGCGTGTGAAAATAGTTATCCCTCAAAGAGATTGGATAAAATTGACTCCCTAATACAAAGAAAAAAAAGTAGGTTCCATTTGAAAGTATCAGCTAGCAGGAATAAGTTTATTCCTCCTCTCGCGTAATCATTTTTTTTCCGCCATACGTGATCATGGGAATGAGATGGGAGTAGCGGGAGGGCATGAATGTAGCGGATTGGGAACCTTGGTCATAAATATCTGTTTTCGACCATCTTTGCTCAAACTAACTTTGAATACCAAGCCGTCGGAGGCATCCGTCCGTTGCACTGGTCGCCTTCCACCACATCACCACCATGCATGGAGCTCCACACGGGGAGGAGCTCCACAAAGAGAAGTGGGCCGAGCAGAGAGCAGCCAAAGCTTCGACACTACTTGCCAAAGACGACATGTATCACCACCTGTGCCGCACGAGTCCCCGCGCTGAGCTGCGGAGCAAGCCCGTCGAAACCGCTGGACAGCTACCAGCTAATAGTTCAACCTACCAGTGACCTTGACACCCGCGCAGGCCGCCCAAGCTCCCCCGAGCAGCCTCTTCGCTGTCGGCGCCACAAGGGAGCCGGTCTCGCCCGATCCCCTTGTGGATGCGCCGGATCTAGACCTTGTGGGGCCAAATCCGGTCATCCATCTCGGTGCCTTCGCCACCACAGCCAGCCGTCGCCACCACCGCAATAGGGGATCCAGCCTCTCGCGCTGGAGAGATGCCCATACCTCGCTGAAGATACGCCAGATTTGGACCTTGGGTGGCCAGATCCGACCATCCCCTCGCTGCCTTCATAGCTGTTGCCTGCCTCGGGAAGGGATGGAGGTGGCTGCCGGTGCTATACATGGGGGGAGCCAGGTTCGGGGCCGACGCCTCCCGGATCGCCTCAGATCTGGAGAAAAGGGGAGGGAAGGAAGAAGGGGAAAAGGAGATGGGAGGAAAAGGGAGGGAGGGAGGAGGCGCCGCCGCTGCTGGCCACCACCGCAGGTGGCGGCATTGCCACCGGCGACGAGGTAGGTGAGACACGCTGTGGAGGCTGGGGCAGCGGCCTTCGCATCCCAGGTCACCTAGAGGCGACACAGAAGTAGCCTCCTCCAAACGATGACCCAAGAACTTTCACCAATAGAACTTCCATGCTCGTTTTATATATGAACTCTGTAGAATCGCCCTAGCTAGCAACTAAGGGCCTGTTTAGTCCCCAGCCAAAAATTTTTCACCATGTCACATTGAATGTTCGGACACATGTATAGAGTAATAAATATAAACGAAAAAAACTAATTACATAAATTGCGTATAAATTGCGAGACGAATCTTTTAAACCTAATTGCTCCATGATTTAACAATGTGGTGCTACAGTAAATATTTATTAATGATGGATTAATTAGGCTTAATAAATTCGTCTCGCAGTTTACATGCGGATTCTGTAATTTGTTTTATTATTAGACTACGTTTAATACTTCAAATGTTTCAAATGTGTGTCCGTATATCCGATGTAACACGCCAAAAAATTTCACCCCTGAATCTAAACACAATCTAAGTCGTGTTGTAGTGGCAACTATATCGATTGAAATATTATGTGCTTGGCAGTTGACACAGACACACGTTACAGCTCAACCACTGTATAGAAAACTAAGGGGCTATTTAAGAGAGCTTATAGCTACTACAAATTCTCCGATAAGTAAAAGCTCTTTCATGTAGACTATGAAAAAGTTATAGTGCATACTATGATAGTGTTTCAATATTTTCAGATTCTCATGAACTTATGAGAACTGATTACCGACAAGTAGGTCTTACTACTAAGCTCCGAAAGCAGAGCCGCAAGTAAAACCACGGAAACATTCTTTTGTGGGCCATCTAGGCATGCGTAACATCGGCCGCAGTTGACAGAGTTAGGACATCTAAAGAGTAAAGATACGAGCAGATGAGCGCAAACCACAAACGCTTCTAATAATTGACTGCTTTAATATTCGTAGAATTAAGCTTGTAGTAATATCTTAAAGGTATTAATTGGGGTAAATTTTCTCAGTGCACCAGTGAATTCACTTCTGTTCATCATAAGATCAACATTGAATCAAGTTTAGTCTTGGCGTAGGAGGATTCAATGATTTTTAACAACAATTTTCGAAAAACGGCACTGATGGGTCGCTAACTTTTGTTTTAACTTATGTAACAAAATTGAAACAATCGTATACTTGCTAGTAGTGCACGCTCTAATCGTCATACTGTTATCATTATTTTGTCTAATTACTCCTCATGCTACTAGATTTAGTGCTTGAGTTGTGTCGAAACTAGATTTCGGCAATAATAAAAGGGGGTAGCTATCAAGCTGGAGAAGTGAATGGGTTTGGAGACAAAAGATTTATACAGGTTCAGGCCTTCTTATTCAAGAAGTAATACCCTACTCCTGTCCGGGGATGAATCCGCCGAGTATCTTATTGATTGTATGATTTGGAGAAAATCAACACATACCCCTAGAGGCACCCGGACCCCCCTTATATATGGGAAGGAGTCCGTGTTACAAAAGATAATCTATATCCCTAACGGAATATGCAGATACAGATAAAATACAGTCGTAACCGACTAAGTCTCAAGGTATTTCCTTGATGTACAAGTTGAGAAACAAACCCGAGATACAAATAAGATATTCTATCTATATTCGGTATCCTATATTCAGCCCAAATATCATCGCCGTGTAGATATGGGATATCCATAATCTCCACAGTAGCCCCCGAGACCTTTGCAGTCAACCATCATAGCCTTCTCAAAGATAATAATCCGAGTGCTTCAAACTTTTCATGCCGAGGCCTGCCGAGTAGCGAAGACGAAGAATGTAAAGGGCGAAAA